TCCGACAGTGAGAAATGCTTCTGGCTGGTGCGCTCCAAGTGTGGGTTTGGAGGCCATCAGCCAATCAGTCACTCCAGGAGTAACTGGGATTGAAGCGCTGATGCCCAGTGGCTGTTGAGGCCCTTCAGACAGGAACGCATGTGGTTAATTTTTGAGGACTTGCTTGCCCCTGGTCTGTTCAGGATCGGAAAACAAAGCGACAACTATCCATCCCACCTGTGCTGAGTCAGACGCCTCTCAGGGACGCCGGGAGTCGAGCATGATGCAAATGGCCCGCTCCTGTAGACTTGACTCGCACATCTGGAAGCCAGGTTTATTGCCTCTGGACATGGAGGATCCACTCTTACCGTCTCCTTGTTTTTGTCCACCTCCCTTCCTTTTTAAAAGTCGTTGAATCGATTGGCCGTTGTCGTGTCTTGGGACGATGCATGGCATAAGTTCTTTGTTCTGCGTGATGAAATGTTTCCTTTTGGGTCGTTTGCGTGTGCTTCCGACTTATGGCGACCCTGTGAACGATTGTCCTCCAGAACGGCCTCTCATTAACAGCTTTGCTCTGGTCTTGCAAACGGAGGGCCCTCCTGGCTTCCTTGATTGAGTCCATCCACCTCATTCACACACACACACACACACACATATATAGTACTATCTATCTATATCTTGCACTCTCTATCTAGTTTTACTATTTAAAGGGATACAAAATGGAAAGGGAAAAGTGAGAAGCATAAAACATCATTTTTCAACACATTTTTTGCATACTGTAAGCCTACAAAACATGGGGAAAGCATCATAACAAATCAAGGTACAGTAAGATAATCAATACTTCAACATAATGGTATTTCCGTGTGTACTTCCGTTATTTCCTATCTATAGGGGTAGAGTCAGTCAATCTCCTGCTGGGTCCTCTTCTTTTCCTGCTGGCCTTCCGCTTTTCCTAGCACGATTGCCTTTTCCAGTGACTGTTGTCTTCTTCTAATGTAACCAAAGTACAGTAGCCTCAGTTGAATCATTTTAGGCTTTTAGAGCAAGCTCTGAGAGCTCAGTCTAGGCAACACCCCCCTCAAAAAATATATTCCAATCTTTGGATAATACTGTCCTGGAATTTTGAAAGAGTGATTGCTTCTTTAGTCCCCCCCCCTCATTTATACCATTCCTTTTCCCCCAAGGTGGACTCAAAAGCAGCGTCTATTTTCCCCCTTTCCTCCATTTTATCACAACAACCCTGCAGGGTAGTTTACACTGTGTGCATGTGACTGGCCCAACTTAACCAGTGAGCTTCCACAGCAGGAGTGGGGATTTGAACCTGGGACTCCCCAAACGTAGTCCGACACTGGAACCAGCCCACCAGAGAAGCTCACTTCCGTATCTACTTCTGTACGATTCAGAAATGTATAGACTCGCATCATGTCCCCCACACCCTCCCCCCCATTTGGTTTGTTCAGTGTATCTGCTGGTGCATTTTTAGGCCCTCTTTCTCCAGTTAAGCCTGTACTGCTCGGACTCTGAAGAGCGGGAAACTCAAAGTGCAGCATCAGAAATGCCGCGTCAACAGTTGTGGTCATTTTATTAGTATCACCAAGAAGAAAAGAATCCATAATATTTTCTGACTTCTGTGTGTGCTATTGAGTGTTTGCCTATAGTGGTTAGCAGGTGATTTTCAACACGCCCTTAGCAAGCAGCTGAAGATATGGCTCTTGTGTGGACAAGCGGAATGTGTATGTTAGCTGGAGCCCCAGGGACGATTTCAGTTGTTCAGTCAGTGAACTATTGCAAGGTCCCCCATTTTGCATCCCAATCTTCATGACTGGGAATTCTGTCAGGCAGTTATATCGAGAGGGTTTCCTAGTCCTAGAGGCTGCAAATGCCTAATTTGTAGTTAGAGCAGGCAGCAAAAGAGAACTTGACTCTTAGAGGCAATTGAACATATTTATTGATGCAATTTATATCTCAGTCTATGTTGGCGTAGCACTGGAGTTCCAGGCGGTTGTTCCAAGCTGCATCCGTGCTTCACGTTCGGACGTCTGCAGCTGCATCTTCTGCGGCAGATCGGCTACCTATTATATTTATTTTATTTATTTAAAGCAACATTTAGCCACCTTTCTACCCTACAGAACTCAAAGTGGACTTCGAATGTAAATAGAACAACAAGGTACCGAAAAGCACAGAAAAGACCACAATTTAAAATCTCAA